TTCTGGTTGTGGAGCACAGTCTGCTGGAGTTGTGGCTCAGAGCCCCAGAGCATGCAGGAGCTGTAGCTGCAGTTCGTGGGCTCTGGAGCGTGGCCTCAGTAATTGTGGCGCATGGGCCTAGTTGCTCCGTGGCGTGTGGGATCCTCCCGGACCAGGGATTGAACCTTGTTACCTGCATTGGCAGGTGGATTCCTAACCAGTGTACCACCAGGGAAGGCCTAAGTGGCCTTTTCTAGTGCCAGTCATCTTTGAATAACAAGCAGCTCCTCTCCTCCAAAAAAAAAAAAATGTACTGTTGTTTGTTAACCCCTAAATTATCATATTTCTGGGTAAATGACCTTTCAATTCATAGTAAAAAATTTTTTAAATCTATGCTTGTGTTTTGAGACCCTTTGCTCCCTCTATTAACCCTACTTTCTTGTTGATAAGGGTTGTAGCTTTTAAAATGATGAGCCTATGTTAAAAATAAAGGAACCAGTGCCCCAAGTGACAATATGAAATAACCAATAAAGCAATAACTTGAGTGCTGGCACTACTGACATTTTGATTTTTTCATTTAAAAATGCCTAATTTGGTCCTGAAACATTGTAAGTCAACTGTATATATATATATATAAGAAAAAATTAAAATGCCTACTTTGGTTAGCATAATATTTTGAACAAATAAAATGTCAGGAATTACTTACTATCCTTGTAATTACACTTTAGTATCTTTTCTTTGAAAATTGAAAAATTGTGCTAAGACTTGGTTTTGGGAGGATGATAGCTTTAGAAATGGAATAAAGAGGCGACACACAGCCACAGAAATGAAGAAGGGAAACTTCTGTGTTTGGTGGCATATGGTTTATTTATGACTTGAAAGGATACAAGTACTAAACCTCAGTGTTACAGTTTAAATACTTCATAGTTTAAAGCATGGGTAAGATGTTAGAAGCTTAAACTTCAGAGTCCAAGTGCTTAGATTGTATTTTTTAACCAGTGAAATTCTAAATGTCATTAAAGACAGTTTAAAACTTGTTAAAACGGAAACTGGGGCTTGAACACGTGTATATGCATAATATTCAAGTTTTCATTCTAGTCTAATTCTTGTTCCCCTAAATCCATATTTATCCAAACCAGTCTTATTTAGAAAGTATGGTCTGTGAACCAGTGTCTGTCCACCAACTGGTGCTAAGTGAAGTCAGTACAGAGAGTGGTAACCATTTAAAAACTTCGATAGCAGCTCAAATTGGCACATCTGTGCCTGTGATTATTTTTCCAGTAATTTACTTTTACCGCATTTTACAAGGTTAAGTTTTCTACCTGTTGGTGCTTGGGTGGGGGCAGTTCCCAAGACAGTTTACAAAGCGTTTCTCTAGATCCCCTTTCATTCTACTCAGAAATTCTGAACTCCTTGTATCCATGTGGCCACATAGGGGCTGGGAGTAAGGACACGAAGATGAGTAAACTGTGCCTATGTGATGACTGAGAATGCAGGTGCCGATTATATGAGCTTTGTGGACACAAGCTTTGCCCCATGGACTGCAGCACACTAGGCTCCCCCGTTCTTCACTGTCTCCTCGAGTTTGTTCAAAATTCATATCCACTGAGTCGGTGATGCTATCTAACCATCTCATCCTCTGTCGCCCCCTTCTCTTCCTGCCCTCAATCTTTCCCAGTATCAGGGACTTTTCCAATGAGTTGGCTCTTCGCATCAGGTGGCCAAAGTATTGGAGCTTCAGCTTCAGCATCAGTCCTTCCAAGGAATATTCACGGTTGATCGACTTTGGGATTGTCTGGTTTGATCTCCTTGCAGTCCAAGGGACTCTCAAGAGTCTTCTCCAACACCACAGTTTGAAAGCATCAATTCTTCAGCTCTCAGCTTTCTTATGGTCCAGCTCTCACATCCATACATGACCACTGTAAAAACCTATTTTTGGGTCACCTGCTTGGTGGCTGTGTAGTGGGTCTAATGCAACCTCCTCCAAGAGGACGTACGCCACACGCTGTGCCTCGCAGGACTGCTGCTGCTCTATACTATCGCTTATGTCTCCCATAATTTTGAAGCAAATCCCAAATAGCATTTAATTTCATCTGAAAATATTTCAGTAAGAATCACTAAAATACAAAAGGCTTATTATTATTCTTTAACACAACCATAGTACCATTGCTATTTTAGTAAAAATGTAAGTAAACTTGTTCAGAACTAACCTTTACCCTGTTTTATAGACTCACTGGATGAGTGAATAAAAGGCCCATCATAATATTTTTCTTATAATAGATGTAGATTCTACTGTTAGGATAGTATATTGGTGTACTGTATGAATCACACGAGTTAACACTAAATTTGTCCTCCAAATTGAGGTGGTTTTGAGAGTGAAAGGGGATACTGTTAACAGTTACACCAGGAGAATGGCTGATATCTAGGACTGTCTTGAGTAAACCGGGCTGTATGTGGTCCCCTTCCGGAGAAGACAATGGCACCCCACTCCAGTACCCTTGCCTGCAAAATTTGGACGGAGGAGCCTGGTAGGCTGTGGTCCATGGGGTCGCTAAGATTTGGACATGACTGAGCGACTTCACTTTCACTTTTCACTCTCATGCATTGGAGAAGGCAATGGCAACCCACTCCAGTGTTCTTGCCTGGAGAATCCCAAGGACGGGGGAGCCTGGTGGGCTGCCGTCTATGGGGTTGCACAGAGTCAGACACGACTGGAGTGACTTAGCAGCAGTAGCAGCAGCGACAGCATCATGTGGTCCCCTATCTCAGTGTAATATTTGCCGGTTGGATAGCTACTATGATTTCTTTCAGTGGGCTTTGAATAGTCAAAATGAGTCAAGTTGTAGCCAAGAGTATTTCAAAACTTACCATAGGACTTTCTTTACTTTTGAATAATACAAAATGGTATGGCTAGAGCAAGTTTAAAATTGTGTAAGCACCTGTACATTCAAGTTGGTTCTTAACACTTCCATAAAGCTAGAAGTGGAACATCAGACGTAAGCACAAATTTTTTTTTTCATTTATTTTTATTAGTTGGAGGCTAATTACTTTACAGTATATTAGTGGGTTTTGCCATACATTGACATGAATCAGCCATGGATTTACATGTGTTCCCCATCCTGATCCCCCCTCCCACCTCCCTCCCCATCCCATCCCTCTGGTCTTCCCAGTGCACCAGGCCCGAGCACTTGTCTCATGCATCCAACCTGACCTGGTGATCTGCTTCACACTTGATAATATATATGTTTTAATGCTATTCTCTCAGATCATCCCACCCTCGCCTTCTCCCATAGAGTCCAAAAGTCTGTTCTATACATCTGTGTCTCTTTTTCTGTCCTGCATATAGGGTTATCGTTACCATCTTTCTAAATTCCATATATATGCGTTAGTATACTGTATTGGTGTTTATCTTTCTGGGTTACTTCATTCTGTATAATGGGCTCCAGTTTCATCCATCTCACTAGAACTGATTCAAATGTATTCTTTTTAATGGCTGAGTAATAGTCCATTGTGTATATGTACCACAACTTGCTTATCCATTCGTCTGCTGATGGGCATCTAGGTTTCTTCCATGTCCTGGCTATTATAAACAGTGCTGCGATGAACAGTGGGGTGCACATGTCTCTTTCAGATCTGGTTTCCTCTGTGTGTATGCCCAGGAGTGGGATTGCTGGGTCATATGGCAGTTCTATTTCCATTTTTTTTTAAGGAATCTCTCCACTGTTCTCCATAGTGGCTATACTAGTTTGCATTCCCACCAACAGTGTAAGAGGGTTCCCTTTTCTCCAATAAGCACAAATTAAAATGAACCCCTCTGTTGGGACTTCCCCAGCAGTCCAGTGGTTAGGACTCCGTGCTCCCAGTTCAGGGGGCACGGGTTTGATCCCTGGTCAGGTAACTTGGATCCCATGTGACCAAAAATTAAAAAGAAATAACATGAACCTCTCTTTTCAAATGTATGGTTTATAGACTTATGGCTATAGGTCACAGGAAATCTAAAGTAGACTGTTTTAAAGATAGGTAAAAGAAGAGATGATAGCCAATTTTAAAATGTGAAAAATTTTTCTCTGTTCAAGTTGCTAACTCACCGTGATGTTGTATATAATCTTTATATCTAGTGTAAACTGAAGTTAGTTGTTAGCATTTCCAGATTAGAAAACAAAACTAGGCCTCCCATATCTATTTTTCTCAAGTTTGTGCTCTGTTACTATAGGAAGTTATTTTCTGAAAGAGCTCCATTCTGTTAGTTGTGTCCTTATTATCAGTAATATTTTAAGTGACTATCTTTTAATAGGGCTTCTCTTGTGGCTCAGCTGATAAAAGAATCTGCCTGCAATGCAGGAGACCTGGGTTCAATTCCTGGGCTGAGAAGGTCCCCTGGAGATGGGAAAGGCTACCCACTCCAGTATCCTGGCCTAGAGAATTCCATGGACTGTATAGTCCATGGGGTCGGAAAGAGTCGGACACAACTGAGTGACTTTCACTTTCATCTTTTCGTAATACATACATACACTTGTATTATTAATAACATAATCATACATTGTATTAATAATAAAATCATACATGTTTGATTCCCCTAAACAGGAACTGAAGTTAAACTTCCAAGACACGGTTTCATCATGTCTATTCTTTGAAGGAAATAAATGCATTTTTAGTAGTGTTGTGGTTTCTTTTCCTTCATTTTTTAAACTATAGTTTCTTTTTGAATACTTTTTCATAGAAGAAATATATTCATTGTCTCACTGTTAGCTTATTTACTGAATCAAGTGTTTCATGTTTATATGTAAGGCATAATTTATACACACCTAGATCTTTTAAATGACTTTGACTTTGTGGCCTTCTAAAAAATTAGAATCAATCATCTATAAGTCTCTTTAGTTTTTTTTCCCCATGTAGTTCTGGTGCTGTGGATGTTAAATCATGGTGATGTTTTAGACTTAATTTTTTATGTAAAAGTGATGTGTTTGTGGTTGTTTTCTAACTTCACCTGTTTACAATTTTTTCTTTTCTTTTCTTTCTAGCTGTCCCCTTTCCTCCGACCCAGCGGCTTACTTTGAAGGAAGTGTTTGAGAATGGGAAACCTAAAATTGATGTTTTGAAAAACCATTTGGTGAAGGAAGGGCGACTGGAAGAGGAAGTAGCCTTAAAAATAATCAATGATGGGGCTGCCATACTGAGACAAGAGAAGACTATGATAGAAGTAGACGCTCCAATCACGGGTATGAGAAGGATCTGCACGGTGGTACTTAGATTTGAGCTAGTTTGAGGAATGATTACAATTCATCATCAACTAAAATGTGTAATAATTATTCTAGGAATTGTGAGCAGTCTTATGATTGTTTAATATGTTTGTTTTTCATTGAAGGAATATAATTTAAAATGTCTAATATTTCCAGTAGGACTGTTTCAGATTGATAGATTACCTGCAGTTATCAAGCAGTCCAGTCAAAAGCTAGAGTGATTTAAGTTAAAAGTTAAACTGTGGTCTTAATAGTGTAATGCTCTTTCTCTTCTAAAACATAATTTTTCATCTCACCCTATGTCTTTCTTCCCTCCTAGTATGTGGTGACATTCATGGACAGTTCTTTGACCTGATGAAGTTGTTTGAAGTTGGAGGGTCACCTAGTAATACACGCTACCTCTTTCTGGGTGACTACGTGGACAGAGGCTATTTCAGTATAGAGGTAAATATTAAACTGGATATATTGGAACTATCATATTGTATTCTTAAAAAAATTTTCTTTCTTCAGTAGAAGAAATTAAAATGAACACTGGCAGAATTTATAAATTTCGTTACTTTCATTTATTAAAGTGATAGAAATTGATATTAAAAAACTATTTCTTTTATTTACCAGTAAAAATCTGACATGTCAAAGGCTGTATTAACCCAGTTTTGCAAACAAGTTAAGTGTTTACCAATCTTTCCTCTTTGGAGGTAGTGTACAGGCTATATATATAAATAACTTAAATTGCTTTTCACCCTAAATGGGGTTTGGATTAGCTCACCTTAATTGTAAAACCATAAGCTGTTGGGCTACACTGAATACATAGATTAACTGCCAATGCTAAATAATCAGGCATTTAACCTATCGTAGGAATAATTTCTGATACTGTTGCACATAGTAAGGACATGTTCATTGAAGGAAAAATGATTATAGTTAATGAAGTTAATGAAAACTCACGTTACATATTTTGAAAACTGTATGATGACAGAAAAATGGTTAGATTTAAAACAAAGTATTAATATAAGCTTTTACCTATAAAAAATAAAACTATTTTAAAACCTAACAGAGGGACTTTTCTGGTGGTCTGTTGGCTAAAATTCTATGCTCCCCGGGCAGGGGGCCCAGGTTCATATCCCTGGTCAGGGAACTAGATCCCGCATACCACATCTAGAGATCCTGCGCACCGCAACAAAGACTGAAAATCTTGCATGCTGCAACTAAGACCTGGTGCAACCAGATAAATAAATATTTTTTAAAAAGCTTATGGAAGGACTTAGAACATTCATATTTAATGTCTGTTGATTCAGCTGTATGTGCTCAGCAAAGAAAAGTAACTTTTGAAATAGTATAGGTAATTGAATTATTATGTCCCCAGAATAAGCTTGAGATGAGACTTGAGATGAGGTTTATTGTTCATGCAGCATGTTGCCTAAATACAAGTCAACCATGTCACCTGGTTCTCAACCAGAGAAGCAGCTGTGGTTCTAAAGCTGCCAGAAACACAAGAAACAGGAGAAATGGATCTTAGTCTTCAGTTAGATAGACAGTCTAAATTCATGAGTCAGAAAACCTCAGTGTTGTCTTGCCAGTGTCCCAGATCCTAAGTGCCTCACCTCCAGGCTGCCCCCTGCGTCGAGAGCACAGTCTTGAGTGCCGGATTACCAGAGAAATCTATTAGGTTTCCACACGTAGTAGGCACGTGGTATTTGTTGGTTGAATGGATGTTAATAAATCATAGGTTGTATTTGGCTTTATCTTGTTACTTGATGTTTGGCTACCTTAAAGTGTTTTTCTAGAATAGTTTAAGAGATAAATTAATCAAAACTTTAAAGTGACAGCACTGTATCACACCAGTTTTAAAACTAAACTGTAGGAGATACCTGGTGTTAGTTGGAAGTCACTTATAAACCAATAAGGTTATAGGTTTCTATAAGCTACAGCTTAGTCCAACATGATTTAAGTATGTAATTTGAACAATAATTTTTTTATCAATGTGCTTGATAAACATGAATGTTATGTTTGTCAAACAGAGGAAAATAAGATAACGGAGGCCTGTTTACAATTTTTTGTTATAAATAGTCATTTTTGGGGGTAGAAAAATTGGGAAATGCAGAATCTAACAAAAACATTTATAAATGAAATAATTACTGTTACTATTTTGTTATATTTCCTTGCATTCTTTTTTCTCCTTTTACATGTATATACAATTTTCAAAGAAAGTTGAGATTGTTTTGTGTACTCTCTTTTGTAATCTTTTCCCCCTCTTCAACTTTGTGTTGAGAACACTTTTCTCTGTCATTAAGATTTCTCCAAAAGTGTGATCAGTGGCATAAATACCACAATTTATTTCACCATTCCTCTTTGGATAATTCAGTTTGTAGCAGGTACTGCTTATTGTCTCCTTTTTCTCTTCTTATTCCTTACTAGCAAAATCCTTGTTTTTTCCAAATAAATGGGATTGGGGGTTCAGGGAGGACTTTTAATGTTGGGGAGGGAAGACCCTTATCCAAGCCCAAGGGGTTGAATTTTTCTGGTTGGTTTGAACCAGTCATGGCAATCCACTCCCTGTCACTGGTTGATTAGTCTAAGTAAACATGGGATCCTCTTTCACCCAGTAATATGTAAAGAGACCTCCTGATGATCATGACCTTTCTTTGTTGTGTACTAAATAATCATAAAATTGTATCCTGATGTATAGTACGAGGGAATAAAACTTGAAATTAGAGGCCGAGAAGTATATCAACCAAATCACATTGTAGAGTGGACGTGCATTGTGCTTTTTATAGCTCATTACTTCAGAAAGGTTAGTTGGTCATTTCAGGAGGCAGAAATAAAGACCAAATAAATCAAAAGATATAGCATGTTCTTGGAAAGGTAAGTATAGAAAAGAGAAAGTGCTTTCTACATTTATATGTGAATTTAATCTAATTTTTCCTTGGAATATTGTGAAAATTGGTATGTTGCAAACGGAAGTCAGCCCCCAAAAGGGAAAAGCCATCTAATTATATTTGTATGTGTCTATGTGTTTACATTTTTTTTATGTGTTTACATTTTATAATGTTTCTTTTGCGTTGTCTTTCTTAAAACATACACATATTTTGATCTTAACAATTTCACTTTTTGTGAAATTATACTACACATATACTCATAATTATGTACAATGACATGAATGAATAGTTTGTCACCTAAAGTTCTTGGCGAGCTATAGTCATGGGGTCGCAAAGAATCAGACATGACTAAGCAACTTAGCACACAGGCATACAAAGCATCCTGCAACAAAGAATTGTGCCTGTTAATAGTACCTAAGTTGAGAGACACTGTTATCATTGTGGGGATGTGAAGATAAAAAGCATAACCAAATCCTGTGTTGTGTTTTCTGGTAAGAGAGACAGCATCTTTATATTTGTTTAGTGTCCATGAAAGTCAAGTCAGGGTGCTCATCTGGGGCTTCCCTGGTAGCTCTGACAGTAAAGAATCCGCCTGCAATGCAGGAGACCCATGTTCGATCCCCGGGTCAGAAAGTTCTCCTAGAGAAAGGAATGGCTCCCCACTCCAGTATTCTTGCCTGGAGAATCCCATGGACAGAGGAGCCTGGAGGCTACAGTCCAGGCGGTCACAAAGAGTTGGACACGACTGAGCAACTAACACTCTCACTTTCCATTTAGTTGGAGGTCAGGGAAGTTCTATTTGAAGAGGTAACATTTGAATAGAACACGTGAATGACCGGAGAGAATTAGCCATACGTAGATGGAGGTGGGGTGAGTACCTTCCAGGCAGAGGCCGTGTAGAGCTCTGAGGAAGGAACGAGCCCAAGACATCTCAGGAACAGAAGCAAGGTCAGCGTGGCTAGACAGAATGAGTAAGGGGACAATGTGGACGGTGCATCAGAGAGAGAGGCAGGGGTTACATGATGTCAGGCTTTGCAAACCATGGTAGAGTTTGGGTTTTATCCTGAACTCAGTGAAAATCCTCTAGAGCTTTTTTTGTTGATATGTTTTTTGTTTTTTAAGCGTGGCAGTGATATAACTTCCATTTATGTTTTAAGACAGTTCCTCTGGCTGTTATGTGGGAGACTGACTCTAGGAGCCCAAGAACGGGTTCAGGGAGACTCGTTAGGAGTCTCATTCAGGAGCGTAGGCAGAAGATGCTGGTGAATTAGAAGAGGACTTCAGAGAAGTGTCTTGATTCAGAATTTTGATGTCTTTCCTTTTAGGAGGTAGGCAATCTTGGTTGAATTCAGCCCTTCAGGTCGTGGCACATTTATTGCTAGTTTTTCCTAAAAAGCCCCTCTACTGGGTTGTTTTTTTTTTTTTTTTTAAATTCTGTACCTCTATTTTCCTTACTCCCTCTCCAAAGTGTACACGTTTGTGTGGTATTTGGTATACACCTCAGAATACATATACTAATTATATTAACTTTTTAGTATATAATGTTTTTGAGGAAAAAATATTTTTAGTTTTGCATAAATGATATATGGTGCTGTTCAGTCATTCTCAAACTCTAGCAGGCATCATAATTACCTGGAGGGGTTATTCAAAAACAAATTGCTAGACCCCACCCCAGAATTTCTGACTTTTTTAGGTCTGGGGTAGACCTTGGGAATCTCTGTATTCTAACAAGCTTCTGTAGATTTTGGTTTTCATGTATCATTATGTTTTAAAGGTCTGTCTGGGTTTCTCTCTGTTCCATTGTATCCCATAGTATACATCTATGACATTTTAGTTCTCTGTTCTCAATGGTGGACAACTTGGTTGACGCCAGTTTCTTTCTATAATGAACACTGTTGTGAGGAACACCCTTGTATAAATCCATTTATGGTCCCATGTTTTATTAGTAGTCACTCTGTGGCTTTCTCTAGTGGCTCAGTGGTAAAGAAACTGCCTGCTAATGCAGAAGACATGGGTTTAATCCCTGGGTCAGGAAGATCCCCTGAAGCAGGAAATGGCAATCCACTCCAGTATTCTTGCCTGGAGAATCCTGTGGGGCTACGGTCAATGGGGTCACAAAAGAGTCGGACGTGACTGAGCGAGTCAACAACAGCGAAAGACAAAATGGTGTATGAATAAGACTGGGATTGCTAGGGGAAAGGGTATGACCCATACATGAACTGAGTATTTCAGATCACTCTTTAGAATAGCTGTAACAGTCTATATGCCTACCAGCAGCACCTAAGAATTCATGTTTCTTCCCGTCTCTTTACAGAATTTGGTTTTATCTCATTTTCTAACATTTACCAAAATGATGGGTATATTGTTGTTTCAATTAATATTTCTTTGATTACTAGTGCAATTAAACATCTTCTCATGTATTAGCCATTGTACCCATAAGATCTATATATCTATATATGTGTCAGGACCACTGTTTTAATTTAGAAATTTTACAGTATGTCTTAACACTCTTTTTCAGTGTTTTTCTGTTTCCTGGCTATTCATGCATGTTTATTTTTTCATGTAAATTTAATTATCAACTCATCTAATTCCATAGAATAGCTTATGGTATTTCCATTGGAAATGCAAT